AACTTATAGACACTATATAATTATTAAATTCTTACATAGAATACACAATAATCTCTCAGAGTTTACAAGGAAGTGAGTCTAAGAGCCCCTATATAAATACCAAAATCTAAGGATGCCCAACCTGTTTATATAAAATGGAATAGTGTTTGCACATAACCCATGCATGTTTTCTTACATACTTCAAATTATTTCCAGATTACTTATAATACTTAATACAATATAAATTCTATATAAATAGTTGTTGTAAAACACTGGTTATGAAATGATATCATGAATAAAATCTATGTATCCAGCACAGAAACAGTTTTTCTTAACTAGTATTTTTAGTTAGTGTCAAGTTGAACCAGGGGTACAAAAAACTATGAATGCAGAAGGGCAAATATATTCTAATTAATAAGGTATAGGTATATTTATATAATAAATATAAAGATAAGGGAGAATTTTCCTTAAAAGCCTCTTGCTTAAGAGTATGTGTATAAATTAATATTGTAAATTCTATGTCCACTGGCATAAATGGCATAATACAGGTCAACTGTTAGCATAAGAAAATATTTAGTGCCAGGTAAGTTTCTTGATTTGTCAGAAGTCACGTCTCCTCTCTCAATTAGCTGGCAACCAGATACAAGTCATCTCAAGAGTTTTACATTTAAACCAGGTGCTCACACTGAAAAGGCACTAGAGCAGTTCTCAACCTTCCTAATGCTGTGATCCTTTAATATAGCTCCATATGTTGTGGTGAGTCCCAACCACAAAACTATTTTTGTTGCTACTTGATAACTGTAGGTTTACTACTGTTAGGAATCATAGTGTAAATATCTGATATGTATGACATCTGATATGTGATCCCCAAAGAAGTTCTGACCCACAGAGCATGGGATGACTTGTAGAAGGAAGTACTGCAGCAGAAGGAACACATGTTAACTTAGGAGCTGGAGAAGCCTGAATTCTAGCCCCAGTTTTACCATGGAAAGTCATCCCATATGTTAGGCCTGAATATTCTCAATCATAAAATCACAAAGGTCAAGTAACATGATGACCTCAGGTTCTTTCTGTTTGTAAGATTTTAATCAACCAACATTCTCCCTTATTTAACTGACACTCATTTCTATTATAGTGAACAGTGATAAGTTCATCTAACTATATTTTACAAATTAATAATTACCTTTTCTTCTTCCAAGGCATACATCTTCATTTGTAGCTGTTAAGTTTTAAAATTAAAATACAGGTAAGTAAACTAGTGATTTCTGCTGATCAGGAAGAATATGAAAGGATTCTATATTTCTATATTGAATTTATACAACTTGAACTTGTTCTCACATTCAGAAAATATAAATATATGAAAGAAAAGGAAAGGCAATCACTAAAGCACATAAATAACTAAATCATATTTAAATACCAATAATTCCTTTGAAGTTTGGTTTAACCCTCCAGAAATCTTAAATGTCTGAATATTTACTATCTACTTTTAAGCAATAGCATGTATCATTTTCTAAAGGTATAATTTTATGAAATCATAGCATTTTTATTTGCATGAGCAGTACTTATATCCTGACTTTGCTTAAATACATATGATAATGAAATAAAAATGACCTTTATTATTTTAAAAATGTCACTTTAAAACAGCAAGATGAAAGTGAATATGCGAATGGAAAAAATAAATTATTCTAAGCAGCACTAAGGACTTTAGCAAAATTGTCAATATTTCTTCTTTGAGATGTCTCTATTTTCCACACTCATTTACATTCAATAGTTCTTTTCTTAAAAATAAACACAGAACCAGCTCTGTTTTGTTATCCCATTCAGAGAAGAGTGTATACAAGCTACTTGCCAAACAGAACTATCAGGACAGTTTGGAAGTAATGGTCTTGGTGAATTATACATAAGGAAGCTCTGGGCATGTAGATCTGACAATGAAGAGCCTGAATCATGTGCTGATGAAAATGATCTTTATGCAGTATCCAACACTGACATTCCTGACAGAATAGATGAAGAAGTTCCAGCTTCTCCTCTCAAAGCTCACTCTACATCAATTCCATTCAGATCCTGCAATTTCCATTCAAATATTCAAAATGACTCAAGCCACACTGAAGGGAATCAACCAAGATCCAAAGCATGTAGACAGTATTTCACCCACCCTTCAAAATTTGCAGGGAATCCAAGATTCAGTGTTGGACAAACATATAAGAAATTTGGAGGAGTTAAGGAGATGCTCAGACCGCTTTAGAATTAATGTGGTTCATACTGATGAAAAAATGTGCAAATGTAAAATATGTGGAAAGTTGTTTTCTACGTTATCAGTACTTTAGGAGCATTATAAAATCCATATGACAAAAGAATCATACAAATGTCCAGAGAATGACATGTTCCTTTCACATGCATCAAAATATAGAGGTCATTGCAAAATTCACACTGAAGAGAAAGATTTCAACTGTACAGAATATGGCAAATCCTTTACCCATAGGTTTTCTCTTCATCTTCCTCAGAGAACCAATACAAGAGAAAAATCTTTCATACGTGAAGCATGTGGCAAGTCTTTTACTCAGAGTTCAACATTTCTTATTCATCAGAGGATCCATACTAGAGAGAAACCTGACAAATGTGATGTATGTGGAAAGTCCTTTATTGTAGGCTCAAAACTTAAAGCTCATCAAAGAATACACATTGGAGAAAAACCTTACAAACGTGATGTATGTGGAAAGTCCTCTATTGTAGGCTCAAATCTTAAAGTTCACCAAAGAATACACATTGGAGAAAAATCTTAAAAATGTAATATATGGTCGGGTGGTGGTGGTGCATGCCTTTAATCTCAGCACTTGGGAGGCAGAGCCAGGAGGATGGATCTCTGTGGGTTCGAGGCCAGCCTAGGCTACCAAGTGAGTACCAGGAAAGGCGCAAAGCTACACAGAAAAACCCTGTCTCAAAAACAAAAACAAAAAAAAAAATGTAATATATGTAGAAAGTCCTTTACTTGTAGCTCAACACTTAAAGGTCATAAAAGAATACATACTGGAGAGAAACCTTATAGATGTAAAGAATGTGGCAAGTCATTTAACAATGCATCAAATTTTCAAGCTCATCAGAGGATCCACACTGGAGATAAACCTTACAAATGTGATGTATGTGGAAAGTCCTTTATTGTAGGCTCAAAACTTAAAGTTCATCAAAGAATACACATTGGAGAGAAACCTTACAAAAGTAAAGAATGTGGGAAGTCCTTTAGGCAGATCTCACATCTACAAAGACATCACAAATTCCACACAGGAGAGAAACTTTACAGATGAAAAGAATGTGGCAAATCCTTTACTAGGGACTCAAGACTTCAAGTTCAGCAAAGAATCCATTGTGGAGAAGGAAGTTAAAAATATACAGATTGTGACAAGTCCTTTGCCCATGATTCACATGTTCAAGGCCACTAAAGACCCATTGAATGCAGAACCCTTAAAATTGTAGTGAATGTGTTATGTATTATGTCCTTTTCCCATGGATCATCTCTGCAAAACCTCACTAAGACCATACATTAGAGAAAGTTTACAAATACAAAGCATGTGGGAAAACCTTATCTGGGTTCTTAAACCTTAAAAATTATCACATAATCCATACTAGAGAGAACCTGTACAATATTAAGAATGTGGCAAGTGTTATGGAGTCCTCAGATATTCAAGCCTAACAGAATATCACTAATGGGAAGAAACTTAACAAATGTACAGAATTTTAAAAAATTCTTTACAAGAAGCTCAAAACTTAGAACATGTCAGAAAATTCATGAAAGAAACAAATTCAACGGGTAATTATTGCCCCAGTATTCATACAATAAAAGGCTTTTTTATAATATGCATAGTGGAAGGAAACCTTTAGCAAATGTTCAAACCTTACTCATTGTCAGATGAGTGACATCAGAAAGCCCTATGCTTGGTGTGATTTTAGAGATATTTTACCAAGAAATAAGTTTTATGTTCACAAAAAAGTTCCTTTGAAAACCATCTACATATATAGCAATATATCAAACAGAATTACACAGAAGTCATGTATTTAAATGATGTAGAATTAATTTGACAATAGAGGAAAGTAATAATAATTTAAAATGTTAAGGGAAAGTTTACTAATAGCCAAATTAAGTCAAAATCACTTCATAATTTTTTGTATATTTATGGGACAAGATATTGAGCTTAGAATGATATGGCTTTTGTATAAATATCACTGTTTTGCTAATATTTGAGATTTTATCAAATAAAATAGAGATGGTTTTGAACCCCAAAAATAAATAAATAAAAATAGACAAACAAATAAACAAACAAACACAGGGCTGTGAATGCAGCACAATGATACAGAACTTTCCAACCATGTGAAAGGCACTGTATTACAGCTCTAGCACTATAAAACAACAAACGTGAGAATCTGAAGATGTCTCCTGTGTCCTGTAGTATCAGGACGTTCTTATGTGCTCACTCTCTTGTGATGGCAAAGACACAGACTTCTGCAGTCTACAGATCACTGTGTTACACATGGGGCTTCTGCTTCCTTACCCTTCAATTAAAACTCTTAGAGCTTTGGTTAGACTGATTTCAAATTAAAGGGAAGCTGGTCTTGTTTAAACCAATTCATCCCAATGTAAATTATCACTAACCTTAACTAACTATGATGACAGGTACACAGGTTTATTTCTTTGTGTTTCTTTTTCTCCACACATACTTGTATAGAAATAAAGACAAAAAAGAGGGAAGAAAAAATGAGGACAGTGGATATAAACAAAAAATTCTACAGGATATTGTATCTGAACATATTTTCCTAAGCTAATATTTTCCTTTTTGTTGTTGTTGTTTTACAGGAAGTCTTTATTTCTCACTAAGAATAATTAACACTAATGAAAATCTAAGCTAATATTTTCTAGGGAGCAGAGATGACTCTGAGAAAGTCAGATGATGGAATTTAAATTAATGAAGGTATAGCTTTTGTTTCTCTAAAATATTTTAGTTTTATTTTCTTTATTTTTCAATTACTGATGGCTGCTATTCACAGAGGCTTCAGCAGATAACAAATCAGGATCACCTCTCCTCTCCTTCACATCTTCTTTCTTTGGGCTTTTTGTTATGGTTTGGGTTTTTTTTGTTTGTTTGTTTGGGTTTTTTGTTGTTGTTGTTTGTTTTTAGACAAAGTCTATGTATCTCTATTCCAGCTAGCCTGGAACTTGAAATATAGACCAGGCTGGCCTTAAACTCACAGATATCCATCTGAACTCACAGAAATCCATCTGCTTCTGTCTCCAGAGTGCTGGGATTAAAGACATATGCCATCATGCCTGGTTTCACATCTTCCTCTTAACCTTTTTATTTTCTGGAGAGTTGACCATGAACCATGCATGGTTCAACAGACTGACTCCAGTAAAGATGCAGTATGGGAAAGGTAAGACAATAACATACTTTTACAAAAGAAAGAGGGTGAATGAGCACATATCAAAATTATTTAGGACAGGACAGATGCATCTACATCACCAAGAAAACATTTTTTTCCAAACTTCTCTACACTAGCATGAGTTATAAGTAAAAATTTTATTTCCTAGTTTCCATAACATTGTCACTTTTGTTTTCTGTGTGTGCAGAGAATAGTTTGTCATAATACTCACTAAAGAGAGAAACAATATACAATTTTCAATTGCAGTTAGTCTATCATAAAAGTCACCTGATTCTTAAAAACTCCCATTGCTTCTTTATGTTCCTTTATTAATGCCTCCTTTTGATTCCGAAGAGTCTCCTGTTTTTAAAATTATGAGAAAAGAAAAAAAAATTATGAGAAGTTAAAACAAAGTTTAGTAAGTTTTCTTACTTTAAAACTCAATTAGGTTTACAATGAAAATAAGTGAAACATGGACAGCTGGGGAGATGGCTCAGAGGTTAAGAACACTTGCTGTTCTTACAGAGGACCCAGCTCGGCATCCATATGGCAGCTCAAATCATTGCTAACTCCATTTCCAGGGAATTGGATGCTCTCTTCTGACTTCTGTGGGCACCAGGCACGCACATGATATACATATATATGTAGCAGGATTCTTAAAGGTACTTATTAATAAGTAGATCAGAGAGACAGAACTTATTAATAAGTAGATCAGAGAGACAGAACAAGCCACAGCTATCTCACCTTGCCAATTCCTCAGCTGGTCCTATTTCCTCAGACTGGAAGCTTCTGTGTCCTCATCCCAATGGCTCTCACCTGAACTGCTGCTTCAATGCTTGAATGCTTAACCAGCCAAAAGCTTAACCAGCTAAATGCTTAACCAGCCAAAGCTTAACCAGCCAAATGCTTAACCAGCCAAAAGCTTCTAGTTTCTGGTCCTCACGCCTTATATATCTTTCTCTTTCTACCACCACTCCCTGGGATTAAAGGCTGGCTTTCTGGGATTAAAGGCGTGTGTCACCATGCTTGGCTATTTCCAATGTGGCCTTGAACTCACAGAGATCCAGAGGGATTTCT